CTGAGTTCAGACGACTTCACGAGTCGTTTTTTCCGACCTCGGGAGCGTTCTATTTGCAACTTCCGGTTCGTAACTCAGGAAACCGACTCGCAGATCGAGTTCGGTGGACAAAAAGAACGCACCATGTGGAGTGCCGTTTTGAAAGCCTCGAATTCTGCGTTTTGGCCGACGCCATGACAGTTAGCAAGCTAGCACGAGCCAGCGGACGTAAGGTACTGCGAATTGAGATGCGCTCATTGGCTGCAAAGTTTTGATTTGTCCGTAGCCGAAAACAATGGCGGCTTGCCTGGTCACACACACGATCTCGTATTCCAGATAAATAGTACACTAAAATATGTTTGTAAATAACTAAGTGAACAATATGCAACACTGTAACATAATGTTGCTTCCTATCAGGTCAGCACAGGTTTGACAGTTTGATCTGAATTTGGTGCGCTGCGCTGGACAGACTCACGAGTGACCTGTCGATCACAAGGTAGTCACGCTCAAAAGCACACGTGGCTTTATGGTCTATTTTACTCTAAATTGGGGCCATAATTGAATAAATGAACACCATATTAAATGGAAGAAGTCAGCTCATTCTCCATTAAAGTGAATGGTATCGCATTCGTGTCGTGTGTAATTGCAGCCAATGGAGCTCCCCCTGCTGGACTTTACATAGAATGATGGTTTAAGACACTTCCGCATTGGCTTCTGTCTTATATACTGCCAATGGCTAGAACCTCTCAACTATTTCTGTCATTTTTCACAGTGCAACAGACCTATGAGGGTTTTCCAGGACAGACTGTCTGAAAATATGCACTGTTATCCCCATATGTAAAGTATATTGTGTATCCCCCTCTCTATGATGACCAGGTTTTCACTTCACCTTCAAGGTGTTCTTTTTAAGCATGAGCTGGTCCCTGCACTACATTTTAGGACGTTGAAGATACAATTCAAGGAACATTTCAGTAGTTATATTACAATGAAGAGAACTGCAAGTGCCGCCGTTTAGCGAAAGTTATGGTCTTGCTTTAAAGGTGCATTTTAACAATGGCTCAAATGACTGTCGCATGAAAGGTCGCACTCATAGTGACAGACTTGCAAAGAGTCATCACCAACTTCGCAGTTCCTCTGAGCTTTGCGGACAGTTTGAATGTCTTTTAGCTCAATGTTGTTTTAAAATTTGCAGTTTTGGTTCAGCCTCACAGCTCTCATATGGCCACTTTTGGTCACAGCAGGCAGCAGTTTCTGTGCCTGCTGGTAGCAGACAGGTAGCAACCAGCTGAAAGTGGAACATTCAGTATTGAACTTTGTCAGCTTTAAAGACTTATTAACACTTTAACCACAAGCATCATGCCTAGCCAAAGAGATTTTAGCAATCCAAAACCTTTTTATATTGATGGCTTAGAAGTGAACTAGATAGTCTTATTAAATGATTGTATCACCCTTTAAAATAAGCAATTTATTTCAGCTTAAATACATAATTGATAAAGAGTAATTTATTAAAATGTGGTATCAGTTTTGCTACTTCTGCCTATTAGGTGTTTTTTCAATGAGGACCCTCTGACACTATTGTCGGAGTCCGTAGGATTCAGTATATGAATGGAGATGATTTTTAGACACATGGAACATTCCCTGTCACAGTGGTGACAGTATGAGAGCACAATACCAGCAGTTCTATCATGAACATTTTAACTTTGGGAGAGAGTGGAGTTGATGTGGAACTGAGCCTGTGTGAGTGAAACCCTTTTGAACACCAGCAAATGAAAACTTTCCCTCGTTACTGTCGGGGGGAAGGGACAGTGACTCCAGTGAAGAGAAAACTGAATGAAACAAAGTGATTGTTCCAGGTTTCTGTGTGACAGTTTTAGCCTTTATGAAGACCCACAGCTTCCACTCACTGTCAATTATGATTTCGTATTTTCCTGCTATGTACTCATGTCATTTTATATGACTGTCCTGATTACACCCCTCGCTGTAAGTTTCTAGCTGTATTTCTAAGTGAATATTAACTTTTTTTTTATGTTTTTTGTGTGTGTGTTTGGATCAAAATGAATCTTTTTTATTGTAATCATCTGTTTTTTTGCACATACCTCCTCCCAAAAGTTTTTATCAATGTTGGCAATCTCATTTTATAATATACTTTGCTGCGGGAGGATGCAGCACACAGCTAATACCAACTGCCTCTCATGACATTTTAAAGTTTGGCTGGTTTTTGTTCTGTGGTAATGCAGTCAGTGCTACACTGCTGACAAGTTGCAGAAAGTGTTTTCTACAGTTGCTGTTAGGTTTGCAGAGATATGGTGTCTGTATGAATTGGATTCATTACTGACCCAGAATCATTCCCAGAAATGACAAAATTGATGCAGACGAGTGACAAGTTAAAGGAAGAATGGAAGTGATCTTTTCCAGCATGCAACCATCCCCAGGGCAGAGGGCATTGAATGGTTTGATTGATGAGTATAAAATTGATGTGAATTATATGCAACAGTATGTCCTCTACGCTCGTCAGACCCAGTTGAGCATCTATGGGAAGCGACGTGGTATTTACAAATTAAAATTTTTACGTCCGTACAGCTGTGAGTTTCATAAAATTTTCCTGAAGACAGTTTCTGTTTGAGATAGTTATTATCACACTGATGTATGTTCAAGTGATAACTTGTCCATCATGCTGTCCATGGCTGTAATTTAGCCAATTATAGCACTTTCGGATAGTGGTGCTGAACTGAGCCGCAAGTAGCGGTCACCATTAAAGCCATGCTGGCATGGTAGGAAGGGTTTTTCACAGCAAAGCAGTTATTTGCTTTAATCATGTGTTAAGAACATCGTTTGGATTCTGTTTATTCCACACACTTGAGGAATCCATGACAAGGAATACAAAAGCTCTAATTATGCTGTGGGTCCTGCATGGATCTGTGTGATGTTACTGTCATCTGCAGACGTCTGCACAGCCACCTGTGTGGACAAGATGTATTAACAGAACCGTATGTGTGTTTTGGAGTATATCAGGGCCTTAAAAACTCCTTTTAATTTGTCACTAATCACCTGCACAACTTTCTAGGACAGCAGCTGAACCCCTCCTCAAACCCAGAGCGATTCTTTGATTCCCCCACAGATACAGTATTATGGACAGTGTTAATCGCTATCCTCATTTTATGGATGACATGGTGGGATTACCCGTACAGGAAGTCATACCCTATTTCTGAGGTGTAATAACAAGCCAAACTTTCTCATGTCATGATGTCCATTTAATGCTCATAACTGACTAATGATACCAAAGCTTCATGTACTCACCTGAGCTGTGTGGCTGTGGTTTTTAATCTGTGTGGGAAAATGTCTGTGTGTATTGCTGGATTGTTAATGCATTACAATAAAGGCTGTCCGATTTCAGTAAGGGCAACAATCTGTGGCATTTTTATTCTCTGTACCTTTTTTCTGGAAGTGTGATTGCAACAAGGTGTGGATCTTCTATCCCAAGAGAACAGGAGCCCACGGGGGTTCAGGGTTAAACTTAATAATTCTTTTAGATTCTCCATGCTACCTGATAAATATCTCCCTAGGTCCACCCATGAAGCCATCTTTAGCTATGTGTAGCTGCCTCCGCTAACACTGGCTCCCCCTTTTTGATTCTGTCATAAAACAAGCTCACAACCTCACCTAGCTAGTTAGCCAGCTAGGTAATGTTAGTTTTTGTGTCTATGCACTGTGAATATTAACATAAGCTGCAAGAGGTGCCAACATTACTAATCATTAAAATTAGAGTCTGTTTCTTTAAATATAATGTAAGTGATGTATGATGTAAGTGTTAAGGAAATCTGTCACATGAGTGAAAGCTTGATGTAGGGAAACTGACACATACCACACACACTCCCAAGTAATGAGTTTTTTTATTAGTTGTCATCCATGCAGCATCATCAGAGAATAACAGATTCATCACCATCTTCTTTGTTCATATGGCATTAAACAGCACAATTTGATTTCAACATCACACTCACATAACAATATGTTATGGTATATTCAACAATATGTGAATCATACTATGCATTTGAACAATAAATAAAAGATATTATTAGTAAGGTCTAGTTCCGTCATCAACTCACAGCTGAGTCAGGGTAATTTAATTCTTTTCAAGCACCTGGCACAGGGTTTCTCCAATATCACATCATATTTAACAGCAGCATCTCGCACCTGTGTAAATGTGTGACATCACTGAGAGGGCGGAGCTTTTCAGCAGAGTGAAAAATTCCTCTGTAGCTGTTTAGTAGTTATAGATGCATTTATTCTGGCAGCTAGCCATGGTAGTCCCAGATTCACTGTGTGGCTGTTGGGTTTGTGGTTGAATGCTTTATAATAGCACAGTATCAAGTGACATGATAAAGTAGGTCCTGCTTTATCAGCTAATCATGAAGCCCTGTTTAAAGAGGGTATTTATCAAAATCTTATTTTA